CATAATCTGTTTTAGCAGAGCAATTCATTTTAAATTCTCACTCACTAGTGAGTGAATGGCTCAAACATATCCAAATGTTTAAAGATATAAATGTAACTACAGCTAATAGCACCAAATAGAAATACCAAGGACCACAGACACACCTATCACGGTAGTGTATGTTGGAGAGTGTACAGGGGACACCACATATAAAATACATATTTCAGCATTCAGATATTGAAATTTGGATACTGTATTTTTTTGTGTGGTAGGACTGAATGATTTTTTTCAGTATTTCAAATGTTGTATGAAAAATGTAAGTGTTTTTGTTTAAACCAAGAGCAAAACATAGACATTAAAAAATAAAAAAGCAGATATGGAATCCCTGACCTCTACAGGGGTTGCATGAAGATGTCATATGGCTCCTGAAGATGAAAGTTTCATGTATCTTGAGGCCTGAAACAAATCAGGTGAAAGCTTTGCAATCGCTTCTAAAGCCGACTCAGCTCTTTCCGTATCACTTTCAACCCTTTATTTTTGACTTCTCTACTGAGGAGCTGAACTTCAGAAATCCTTCTGATGGGGTTCTTCCTGCAAAACAACGCGGATCTCTTGCCTCAAAGGAGGCCAGTTCCTCTGAATTACGGTGAATGTGAGCTTGATGGGCCTAATGGCTGAAGGAAACAAGGCACTTGCATCTCCAGAACAGAAGTTTTATCCCCCCACCCTCCCAAAAAGCACATAGTATACATTGGCTTTTCTCTAACATTTTTATCACTGCATTCTAGTCTCTGTATACCATCCCCCACTTGATTTTTCTTTCTCAGACTAATGTCATTCTGTGGATAGTGCACTTGACAAAGATAGGTCATTTGATGCACAAAATATGCTATTTATTTTAATTAATTTCTAGAAGCGTAAAAAGTACTTTGAGATTTTTCTACTTTATAAAATTTGACTCCACACTTTTGGAAGTTTGAAATATGAATGACTTTCATTAAAGTTTTCATCTTTGCAATCCTAGGACTGTTTATTAAGGAGTGTGTGCATCCTAAATTATGCCAATTTATTTATTAAGATTCCATCATTAATATTGATAATAGATAAAATATTTAAACATGTAAGCTTATTTTGACCTACTTTTTGTGAACATTATAAAGGGAAACAACATAAGAAATTTAAATAAATCATTATACAAATTACAGTAAATAATTGATGTGAACAAATTAGGATTTTTATGGCAAGCCAAAATAAATAGAGCAGTAAATATTCTAAAACTCATTTAGGTTGAAATTATGCTTGAAATGCCAAAGGTTTTTATTTATGCCTGCTTATGGTTTGTTTGGCTCGTTATTTTCAGTTGAATAATATTGTCTTTAGTTCATTATAATTTTTTCCTTACTGTTAATGATTCTATTCGTTTCCTCTTAGGCTTGAATCGCCGACCAGGTCCTTGATAATGGAAGCTCCTCGTGGAATCCAGGTGAGCGCTGCTGCAGGTGACTTGAAGGCTACCTGCCGAAAGGAACTACACCTACAGTCTACAGAGGGTGAGGTGAGTCTTCAAGAAGGGGGTTGTCCTGGACTTCTGAGTGTGTCACCTTTGAGGTTATAGGCAAAAGATTACAGATGGGACACACAGAACTGCTTTGTGAGAAAGTTGAAAACATGGCGATATTAATATTTCTTTAATATGGAACTTGAAAGGCCTTTGTATTTTCCACTGAAATACATACACAAAGTAGTTTTAAGTGGAGCACCTATATTCTCTTAGTTTCCAAATAGGCAAATAAATATAATACTATCAAGATAATATCAAAAATTAAGATGTTCTTTGTTTCTTCTCTTTCAGTCCTCAAAAAGTTCTTGCAAAGTTTGATCAACAGATACTAATTTATTGTATATAGAAGCAGAAAGTTTTACTGTACTATTGCATAGTGTAGCAACTATAGATTACATTGCGCCACATTTCCAAAAGCTAGGAGAAAGGATTTTGAAAGTTTTCACTGTAAAGAACTGGTAAATGTTTGAAGAGATAAGTATATTTAATCTGATTTAAGCATTAATCAATTAGTATTTTTAGTGAATATTATATAATATACCATTAACATGTAGACTGTCTATTCTCTGTCTCAGATTACAACAAAATCAAAGTAAAAAACAAAAATCTTCATCTAAAAAGTACCTTAGAGCTTGGCTTTTTGGTTTGTTTCTGTACGAATGCTAACTTGATTTTTCTAATAAGAAAACTAAGATTTATTTTAGTATTTGTTTTAATTTTTCATTTCCTAGAAAGTTATATACATGCAAGCATTTTCTTGCATCAAATAACCCTTGCATGTGTCTTCCCACTATTCCACTATGATGTCATAAGACACATATATTTATTGATATTATTTCTTTTATGTATTTTGATTTTGTTTCTACATGTTTATATTTTTGTCAATGCTATCTCTTCAGATATGATCTCTCATCCATTCTCTTTATGGCCTTTTCTTGAAACTCTGAAGAATTTACATCTTTATTCTCTCACCAAATCCTGGAGCATCTCTTTCTTAGTTTCTTTCTCTATCCATCATACTATTTTTGGACTTCATTCATGTTTACATTTTCAAGATTATTTTCTGTATCTAATTTTTTTATTTAATCCATATGTCTTTCTTTTAATTGTATGTAGGGTTCTTATCTGTTCCTTTTCAAATCTGATTGGACATTTTAGAGGTTATTCTTTTGCTTTGGGGGCATTTTGCTTATTTATATTTAATTCTACTTTAAGTATTTTATACCCTTTTGTTTTGTTTGGTTTTGTTTTTTTTTTTTTTTTTTTTTTG